GATTTTGCAGACTCTCTTGATCTCAGCTTCTCTAAACCTGACACTGTTCTCAGCAATGTTCACTTCACTTTCTCTCCATTTCCTGTTTTCATCATCCCTTTCATTGGTGCACCTCTAATGATGACTTTCAGCTTCTAACCTTGGGTCCCTCCAGCTATGATTTTCCTCTTCTTCTTCAGCTCCCTATATTTACACACAACTTTCCTGTTCTGGCCTGGCCTCTGGGAACTTCTATTCACATATACTGTTTCCAAGGAAAATCCTACCTGAATTGACCCAGCTTATATATAGATACCAGAAAAATACAGGTTGTGTGTCTTTACTCTCCACCCAGGGCTGTGCTTTTTAAGCCACACTGACTCTGTTGTGTCAAGCAACACAACAGGGGCCAGACCACATGAACATCCCCCTACCTTTGATACAAGGAAAGTTCTATGAGCAGAGCCTGTGATATGAGCACAGAGCCAAACACTTGTCAGGCTACTGAGAATACAAGACCTCGAAGGGATTTAAGGGGACATATTAGAAAAAAAAAAAAAAAAAAAGCCTATTTCTTTTTCTTTTTTTCCACTTATCTTCATTCAGAATTTTTCAATGACCTTTATTTTTTTTTATTGAGTTAATGATAGGTTACAATCTTGTAAAATTTCAGTTGTACATTAATGTTTGTCATTCGTGTTGTAGGTGCACCACTTCACCCTTTGTGCCCACCCCCCACCCCACCTTTCCCCTGGTAGCCACTGATCTGTTCTCTTTGTCCACATTTTTAAATTCCTCATATGAGTGGAGTCATACAGAGATTATCCTTCTCTAACTGGCTTATTTCACTTAACATAATTCCCTCAAGGTCCATCCATGTTATTGCAAATGGAATGATTTTGTTCTGTTTTGCAGCTGAGTAGTATTCCATTGTATATATATACCACATCTTCTTTATCCATTCATCTGTTGATGGGCACTTAGGTTGCTTCCATGTCTTGGCTATTGTAAATAATGCTGCAATGAACATTGGGGTGCATAGGACTTTTGGAATTGGTGACTGCAAGCTCTTTGGATAGATACCCAGTAGTGGAATGGCTGGATCATATGGTAGTTCCATTTTTAATTTTTTGAGGAACCTCCATACTGTTTTCCATAGTGGATGTACCAGTTTGCATTCCTACCAGCAGTGTATGAGGGTTCCATTCTCTCCACAACCTCTCCAACATTTGTTACTATTAGATTTAGATATTTTTGTCATTCTAATGGGTGTAAGGTAATATCTTAGTGTAGTTTTGATTTGCATTTCCCTGATGATCAGCGATGATGAGCATCTTTTCATGTGCCTATTGGCCATCCGTATATCTTCTTTGGAGAAATGTCTGTTCATGTCTGCAGCCCATTTTTTGATCGGGTTGTTTGATTTTTTGTTGTTGAGTTGTGAGACTTCTTTATATGTTATGGATATTAAGCCTTTGTCAGATATATGACTTGCAAATATTTTGTCCCAGTTAGTGGGTTGTTTTTTTGTTTCAATCCTGTTTTCATTTGCCTTGAAGAAGCTCTTTAGTCTGATGAAGTCCCATTTGTTTATTCTTTCTATTGTTTCCCTTCTCTGAGAAGACATCATGTCCAAAAAGGTCCTTTTAATACTGATGTCAAAGAGTGTACTGCCTATGTTTTCTTCTAGAAGCTTTATGGTTTCAGGTCTCACCTTTAGGTCTTTGATCCATTTTGAGTTTATTTTGGTGAATGGTGAAAAAGAATGGTCAACTTTCATTCTTTTACATATGGCTTTCCAGTTTTCCCAGCACCATTTGTTGAAAAGATTTTCTTTTCTCCATTGTATGCTCTCAGCTCCTTTATCAAAGATAAGCTGTCCATAGATGTGTGGTTTTATTTCTGGGCTTTCAATTCTGTTCCATTGATCTGTGCACCTGTTTTTGTACCAGTACTATGCTGTTTTGATTACTGTAGCTTTGTAGTATGTTTTGAAGTCAGGGATTGTGATGCCTCCCGTTTTGTTCTTTTTTCTCAGGATTGCTTTAGCAATTCGAGGTCTTTTGTTGCCCCATATAAATTTTAGGATTCTTTGTTCTAATTCTGTAAAGAATGTCATTGGGATTCTGATTGGGATAGCATTGAATCTGTAGATTGCATTAGGTAGAACGGACATTTTAACTGTGTTTCTTCTTCCAATCCATGTACATGGAATGTCTTTCCATCTCCTTATGTCCTCATCCAATTCTCTCAGAAAGGCCTTGTAATTTTCATTATATAGGTCCTTCACTTCCTTAGTTAAATTTCCCCCAAGGTATTTTATTCTTTTTGTTGCAATTGTGAATGGTATTGTGTTCTTGAGTCCTTTTTCTGTTAGTTCATTATTAGAATATAGAAATGCTACTGATTTCTGAAAATTGATTTTATACCCTGCAACTTTCCTGTAGTTGTTGATTACTTCTAAGAGTTTTCCAATGGATTCTTTGGGGTTTCCTATATATAAGATCATGTCGTCTGCAAACAGCGAGAGTTTCACTTCTTCCCTCCCTATTTGCATTCCTTCTATTCCTTTTTCTTGCCTGATTGCTCCGGCCAGGACCTCCAGTGCTATGTTAAATAAGAGTGGTGATAGAGGGTATCCTTGTCTCATTCCTGTTTTCAGGGGGATGGCGCTCAGTTTTTGCCCATTGAGTATGATGTTGGCTGTGGGTTTGTCATATATGGCCTTTATTATGTTGAGGTAGTTCCCTTCTATGCCCATTTCGTTCAGAGTTTTTATCATAAATGGCTGTTGGATCTTGTCAAATGCTTTCTCTGCATCTATTGAGAGGATCATGTGGTTTTTATTTCTCAGTTTGTTGATGTGGTGTATCACGTTGATTGATTTGTGGATGTTGACCCATCCTTGTGTCCCTGGTATGAATCCCACTTGATCATGATGTATGATCCTTTTGATGAATTGCTGAATTCTGGTTGCCAAAATTTTGTTTAGAATTTTTGCATCTATGTTCATCAGTGATATTGGCCTGTAGTTCTGTTTTTTTCATGGTGTCCTTGTCAGGCTTTGGTATCAGCGTGATGTTGGTCTCATAGAATGTGTTAGGAAGTGTTCCATCTTCCCTAAATTTTTGGAATAGCTTGAAAAGGATAGGTATTAAATCCTCTATGAAAGTTTGGTAGAATTCCCCAGGGAAGCCATCTGGTCCTGGCGTTTTATTATTTGGGATGTTTTTAATTGCTGTTTCAATCTCTTTCCTTGTGATTGGTCTGTTCAAATTGTCTGCTTCTTCTTGAGTGAGCTTTGGGAGATTGTAGGAGTCCAAAAATTTATCCATTCCTCTAGGTTATCCATTCTGTTAGCATAGAGTTTTTCATAGTATTCTCTTATAATCCATTGTATTTCTGCAGAGTCTGTTGTTATTTCTCCTCTTTCATTTCTGATTTTGTTTATTTGAGCTTTCTCCCTTTTTTTCTTTGTAAGTCTGGCTAGGGGTTTGTCAATTTTATTTATCTTCTCAAAGAACCAGCTCTTTGTTTCTTTGATCCTTTCTACCACCTTTTTTGTTTCAATAGTATTTATTACTGCTCTGATTTTTATTATTTCTCTCCTTCTGCTGACTTTGAGCTTTATTTGTTCTTCTTTCTCGAGTTCAGTTAGGTTTGGTTTAACATTGCTTATTTGGGATTTTTCTTGTTTGTTAAGATGTGCCTGTATTGTGATGAATTTTCTTTTTAATACAGAAAAAAGCCTATTTCTTGACAAGGTATCTTATTTTTACCAAGATCTTCATGATTTGCAAAGATGCTTATGAGTATTAGCAATGCAAATTCTAGCTGCCTGGCTTCTTTGCTGCAACTGCTGGCCCAGTACTGCATCAAAAAATAGCAGTCTTTTTCTACGGTGTCTCCACCTTGTAATCCAGGGTAGTGATCATTAAAGAAGAGCAAAAATATTCCTGCTCTCAACAAGCTATCATATCAGAAATTGCTTTGTCAGGGCTCATGGAGGCTCCTGACACCCACAGTAAGTTAAGAGTACCTCAGAGAGAAAGCAATAAGGAGGAGCTAAGTGATCACAAGACTCACACCAAGGCAGTAACAGAGCAGAAGCCAGAGCCTCCATCATCAACCACTCTCTATTCTAAATTTCTGGTGCTATGGAGTTAATTGTTAGATAGGTGTTGAGTGTTTTCTTTTCCTAATCTCAGTCTTCATGGTCTCAGTTGAAGGTTTGCAACTTCCATTGCGTGTTCATTACAATTGTTCCCCTATATTACTTTGAGAAATTTTCCCCGTTCCTGAAATATTCTCATCCAATGATTCTAAAAATCTGACTTATAAATGTGATTATGGAAATGTGACAAGATTCCTTTGTTCTTTCTCTAAGAACGTAATCTCAAAGACAAGCTAAATCTTAGTTTGTGACAAAAATGCAAGATCCTTTCCTCAGAATTCTTGTTCTTGACTTTGCATTACCTTACTAGATCCTATACAGTTGCTTATACATTTTATGGATGTAGAAATCAGTGTTAGGTATTTTAGACTGTAATCTCTTGGCTGTAGAGACATTATTTGCCTTGTCCAATAGACTTCCTTGGCACAACATCATGCCAAAGTATAATGAACTCCATTTGTCAGTGATATAACTTGATATTATTAGATCCTGCCTTGAATACTGTTAAGAGTTATCACTTTAACTCTTGTTCTCTGCAACTTCTCTCACTATTGACTTTAGAAGGAGCTGGAGATCTTTAACTTCTTTCAGGATTAAGGCCTGTGAGGGTACTGTGGGAGCAGATGCCTGAGTCCCATTTGTTAAGGATGTTAACAATCATAAGATGAATGTCATTGCAGGGCATTGGGTTCAGGTTCTAGATTTAGGCCACATAATTATGTCATAATTTTATACTTTAAAGATAAGATCAAATGGCTAATGGATGATTACATTCTATAAAGAAGAATTATTTGGTTCCCCCCCCCCTTTTTAATTAGAACACCCACTCATTCTTTTCTTTCTGCAGATGCTGCGCTGTGATTCACTGTTGGTGGGAGGGACTACAGATAGTTCAGTAGGTGTATGTGGTACAATTTCAAGTGATGCACAACATACGGATCGGTTGACTTCAATTATTTTCTGGTAAGAAATAAATGACTGGACTATTGCTGAAACTCTGGATCCCTTGGCTATAGTTCATGGGAATGAGAACAGCAAATTATCTGAGTTGTCTTTGGAAGACTACTTTATCTTCTAACTTGAGAAGAAAAGATCTAGAGAAACACAAAGCCTTGCTTTCTACAATGTTTATGTAAGCAGATATCTTGAATCTAGATCAAAAGATAAAAGAAATCCAAAACCATTGTCCATACTAATTTCTAGTTTGTCTTCATTTATAATTAACTAGGCAGTGCCTGCACATTGCCAATAGATAAACTATGTAAGAGGACAACTGTAGATAAGAATGTGGCGATTGTATTTTTGTATAATCTATTAAGAGAACCTTTGTCTATACAGCACTCATTTAAAAGATTAGGATCTGGACAATAATTATGGAAAACTAATGCTATAAACCAGTAAACTTCTCCTTGCATGAAGATTAAGCATTAAAAAAGACTGAATACAATTTAGAAAAAACATGTAATAATTGTATAATGTTGGAGGTTCCTAAAGACATGTAATTGATGTACACAAGCATACAGGTGTGTCTTCTCTCTCTCTCTCTCTGTCTCTCTGTCTCTGTCTCTGTCTCTCTCTCTCACACGTGCACACACACACACACAGACACAAACACACAGGAGCTCAAAAGCAGGATTTTTAATGTTAATGAAGCATCTTGACAAATGTACCATGGTCTGAAAAAATAAATTACTTTCCACTGCTGGTTTGTGTGGTCCTTATTTTTGATTACAGCAGGAACTTGAATATGTCTGTCCTGTGTTTAAAAGCAATAGAGTCTATATGTGATTATGTTTAGAGTTATAGCTCACCAGGAAGGTGCAGATATAAGACATTTTCTCTTGATAAATAGTTACTTTCAAAGAATACATTTTCTGTTTGTTTATAAGATGCAGGTGAAGTCAGAGAGTTAGAAACATCATTAACATCTGCTAATGAATCATCCTCCTATTTGCACTGGGAATAAGTGTTTGAACTCAATGCTGTATCTATGTTTGAAGAAATACAATTATAGGTTAACAAATGTGTTACATTTAGGTGGTATGGCTGGATGAATACTAACTAGAAGCAAGCACTGGATCTGTTATGCAAGAAAAATACAGTACATCAATGGCAACACTCCATTTTCACCTAAGCAAACATACATTTATATTGTTACGTTAAATATATTTATCAAGTCAGAGTTATTGTTTTAAAATTGATGCTGCTGTTTTTCCCTGATAACACGTTTATTGTAAAAAATGTGGAAAATAAAGAACAAAGAATAATCATCAGTGATCGCATCATTCAGAGCTAACCACTGTTATAACTTTGGTGTCAACTCTATCTATTATTATAGATACACAAACGCCTTTATATGCACACACGGACCCGAATTTGGAGCGCAAGTAGAGGTGTATATGTACATAGAAGTATTAGTCTTTAAGTTCTACAATGCCGTCACTTAATTTTCCCACTAGCGCATTACTGATAAATATCAATCCTGACACAGGTGTCCACGGTTTTACGATTCTGAGTATTTCAATGACTGACTTGAAGCAGTGTACTGGAAATAATGTCCAAACTAAAGATGACACCACGAAAAAAGAGAGAGATAATGGTGAGCTGATTTTAATTGGCTCATGACCACCTTCCAATGTTCTTCCAGTGTTCTCTCTGTGCTTCATTCCACAATATTTCTTGATTCAAACTGCTTCTGCTATCTCACCACTTTTGTAAAGAAGGTTTTAACCCTGTAGAAAAAAGTGTACAGTGTTTCTCTTTGTTTTTTCCTTGTCTAAGTAGGCAACTCTTGTTTCTCAATTTCACTTATCCTCTAATTATCTGAAAATTTAAGGCATAGATTGTTTCATCTCCCTTTTCCAAACTTTGCCTAATACCTGACACACAGGAAATGATCACAAAGTGTTAAATTTGATAAATTGTATGCCAATGCCCTGCATCAAATAAAAACTGTACTTAATATGACTCTAGTCTTTTTTCTCATGTTCTCATGTTGTTTATGTTCCTCCATGGGCCAATAGTCTCTGTTGAACTCCACAGACAGAAGACACTACTGCTTGAATTTGGGAATCCTTAGCACAGTCTCTCGAATAAAAGATAGATATGCATATATCTCCTAAAAACAAAGTCCTAAGGAGTAAAATGCTTTTAAGGAATTACAGCCCCAAAAGAACACACACTTCACTCTTACTAAGGACCAGTGGGCTAAAGACAAAAGGGAGTTGGATCTAAGCCTTATCATTCTTTGACTTTAATGTCTCATCTGTTTTGACATTGACCAGCAAGAGTCTAGGGGGGCAGAAAAGAGAACAAAAATCTCAGCATCATAATGTAATTCCTTTGCCTTATCATTGTGGATTTTGTGAAGAACGCCCATACCCACTTGAAAGTGTCTTAGTGCAAAGACCCTCACACAAAGCTACCGCATGGAAGTGAGGCTCCAGGATTTCTGCCCAAGAAAAACACCTCTCTTAGATTACGTATGCTGAAAAGAAGAGTGGAAGTACTAGAAACAAGTGAGAATTCACTTAAAAATAGTTTTTTTTGATGGAGAAATATTATAAGGGGATTCAAGGAATCTAACGGCTTGTATGCATTTCTTTCTTCATTTTCTTTCATTACTTTGTTAAAGGGTCACCCGGGGGCTAAAACTGCAAACCAGGCAGCATGCATGCATCTTCCCAACAGATCACAATTCAAGCCCAATGGATTCAATAATTGATTAATTAGGAAGACCAGGCTGCTGTGTCAGCTTCCTCCAAAACAGTAAATTAAGCCTAAATAAGGGCTCTGTCACCCATCCACAGGAAATTCCCCCACGTAACTAGCTCAGGGAATCTTGCATGAGGGTTTGGAGATGCCTGAAAGAGACATTTATATTAAGACAGAAAAATCGGATTTGTGCAGAAAGAAGAGGTGGGCAGGTGGGCAGGTTGCAATGTGTGTACGTGAACTCTCAAAATGCCAGAAGTGGGAGGCATTAAGCACAGCTAGGGGATATTGCAACCACCCTGTCCCAAAGTTACTCTCTGATTGCTTGGGTTCTTAGATTGCTCAAAATAGATCTGTGGAATGGAGAGACAAACACCTTTATATAGATTCCCTAGATATTATTGTATTTATACCAGCTATTTTGAAAAGAATCAATCCAAGAATTCCACTTGTTACCACACAAGTGCCACTGTTTGATATGTGTCTACATCAGTGGAAATTCCAGACATAAAACATCTGACTCTTTTAGTGATGTCACCTCACTTAGACTACATATGCTCTAAAGAAGAGTAGAAGTGCTGGAAGCAAGGGAGAATTCACTAAAATATATTTTTTTGATGGAGATATGTTGCAAGTTGGTTCAAGGAATCTTATGGTTTGCATGCGTTTCTAATAGCTGAGCACAATTGTTATTAACCGTAGGACTTCAAGAAGCTCAGGGAAGAACTTTCACATGAAGGGAGAAAATGCTATGCAGTCTTGAGATAGAATCTTAGATATTCTTTATCAATGAGGGCAAAAACAGGCTTGAAACAAGCAGAGAGCCTCAGTGAGGGCTACAGCATGAGCACTTCTAGTGCTCACTTAGTTAATTTCAGTCTGATATAATTAGCCCAGAGATCCTTAAAAATGCTCAAAATGGTGCTAGGTTGTGGTCTCAGGAACTGAGTGTGATGAGAAACTTTCCATTCTGAAGTCTACAATCAACTTTAACTCTCAAAGTCTTATAAATATCTGGGGGGATGGAGAGAGAGGGAAGATGTTGAATTAGCATAAACCAACGCAGCTACAGCAAAGAAACTTGGTCCCTTGTCCGCAGATTACTGACATCAATGGTGCTAATGAGAAATAAGGGTTTTCTTTAAATGCTCAAAGCATGGCCATGGACATGTCTGCAATAGGCACAAAAGAAATCCCATTTCCCCTTTCTCTGTTAACAACTTATATCTCAATTTTTATTCTTACTAAAAAGGATCAGGGGATCAAAAACTCTTAGTCTATACAAACTTCAGTTTCAACCTAGCAGAGCCTGGACTTTTGACTATTTGTTAGCAATTACAAACACTCATGACATACTACAATTTCTAACTTTGTGGAGGGAAAAATTTGAAACGTGCATAGTAAAACTGTGCGCAGGATTGACTCTTTAAATTGGGGAGAAACATGGCTGATGGCCCAAGACCTCGAACAGCTTTATGGCTCTCCCGTTGTTTCCTGTAGGTATTCTGAGGAAAATGATGGGCTGCGTTTGAGGTTGGGAAATGATACAGGTCTCAGGCTATTAGCCTGATAAAGACCAGGCATTTGTTCTTTATTATATTTCAATTTTGCTAATACAGTTTAATTAAAATGGTAAAACAACCTCCACATCTCTTCTCCATTCTCCTTCCTGACCCATTAGCATTCTAAGACATTTTGAGACATTTATAAGCCACTAAATGATTTTGAAGTCATGTAACGACAGATCTACTTCATAAATCTCAATCGTAGAGCCTTTAAAACAGAGATAGTCTGCATGAAGAAGGAGAGTCAGAGATGAGGATAGAATTAGGGCAGGATTCGCTTCTCAAATGAGGGGTGATTTTGCCCCCCTGAGGGACATTTGGTAATGTCTAGATACATTGTTAGTTGTCACAATTGGAGGGAGGTACTAGTAGCATCTAGTGGATAGAAGCAGGGATGTTATTAAACATCCTACCGTGCACAGGGAAGGCCGCTACAACGAAGACTTATCTGACCCAAAAGGTCAACAGTGCTGAGATTGAGAAACCCTGAAGTAGGGAGACTAATAACTCTCACTTTCCTATTGACAAGAATTAGCAGGAGGACCAGAAGCTATGCGTCTCTTTTGATAAGGGTGCCTTCCTACCATCTTTCTAAGCCTGGGATATTTAACCACTCGATGGGTGTGAACTCTTCAACAAAGGACACATATTTTACTCGGACTGGAGTGGGACAGGGAAAAGAGGAAAACAATTCCTTAAAACTAAAGATAGGAAAAAAGGTAATTTGTAATTATGCAAAAATGTATCTTCTGTGAGCTTAGCGCATCATTAAAATGTCTTATAGGTGCTTAATGTCTCATTAAAATTAAATCTGTACCTGCCAAAAAACAGTACTTTCCAGTAATCTTTGGAGTATGTACTAATTAAATTTAACAAATGCTTTGAGATTAGCCAAGAACACAGCTAGGAAAGCAATCTGTTGATGACTCCTCCTCTCCCGATTGATTTGACAAGTAGACGGAACAGACTTGGACTTAGTAGGGTTCAGAAGAGCACCTTTAGCCTGCCACTTGGTTTACCAGGGAAAATATAAACCCACTGGTTAAAGCCTGAGTGTAAACTTAAGACGTCAACTACAGTTTGTCCTGAGAAAGACTTAGGGTAAGACAGAAGACAGAAAAATCTCTAAAAATATATTGTCTCATGTTGTTTCTATTGTTTTTGTGATAAGAGACCTGTAAAAACTCAAGAACATAATATAAAACACAGTCATTGGTATCTGCAGGGGATTGGTTCCAGGACACCTCCCCTCCCCCCACCGCAGGTACCAAAATCCACAGATGCTCAAGTCCCTTCTATAA